TCCACCCACTCCTCTAGCAGAAAATGTACTCAAAGAAATTTGTATTGTTTGAAATAACAATACTTGCAAGTTGGCTTTCAAGCATTTTGCAGAAATAAATATTTTATCTCCTTATACATGAGGATGCTGAAGTGCAAAGACAAAAGGCATAGAAGAAGGAAAGATATTCTGGCTTCTAGCTCAGATTGGTTGAGCAAGCTTTTCTCCATTTCCCCTCTTCTATCTCAGAAAGGAACAGAGGAAACTGAACTTGCAAATGTTAGTTGGATATTTGTCTCCAAATGGAAAACTGCTTGGTTGTTGCCCAACATGCGTTATTGGAGTATGGATTATGGATGCTATTTTAGAGAACAGAATTGCTCAACTGTGATTTCATGGCCTTGTGACAAAGGAAGAGCTTCCTTCTTGCTTGAAGGGACAGCTGTGGTCTCTCCTGGAACTCAATGCACGGAGTTTTCTAGTTTCCATGAAGGCAGGATTGTGACATATTTAACATCGCAGATTATGGGTCAAGGAGTTGCATAAAGAAGGCACCCTCTGCTGGTGTCTAGACAAGTCTGGTATGACTTCAGGAGGGTATCCATCAAAATTTAAATGGATGTTGGAGTTGTATAAATCTCATAAGGCCTTGACACAGCCCATGCTCATTTCCAGAGACAAATTGCTGACTGATATCTCTAGCCACTTTGGATAACAAAATGTAGTTAATAATTGTGACTAAACGGAAAGCACAGTCTTTCATACCAGATTTTCTGTATGTTCTTTGCAGTTTTAATCCTGTAAATGAGCGGTCAGTTATCAGCTCACACACACACAGGGTGAGGTGAAGCCTATGAGCAAGAGTCCCACTGATGCTGTAATTGCATGGCTTGGCTTGAAGGGAGTCATTCAGTGGAGTAGGCTGGAAGGTGCAGAAAATAAAGCCACTTTCTAACCTAGCAAGACTCGGTATTGTTGCTGCTTCTGTTACATGCTGCACTTTCCACATTTAAGTGAGAAATGTAAATTTTTGTTTAATTAGACTGGTGTTGGAGGACAGAGTAGAGCTTGTTTGTTCTCAGTTCATTGCTGCCAGTCTGAGGTGCTCTGACTTCATCCTTGGTCAAGGAAACACACCCAATATCAATAGATGCATTCTGGAGGCATCTGAGCTTGACGGGAATGTACAGCACTCAGTTGGCATCAAAGGGATCACAGAATAGCCCTCCCTGAGCTGTGTGTGAGCATATTGACACCTCACTGTAACACTGCATGGAGATTGTGGTCTCTCCAGCAAGTACTTTGGATCTGGTAAGGAAGAACTAACCTCCCTTCCTCGAGGCTAAGATAAGAACAGGCTTTTTCAACAAGTATTTGCAAGCTTGGCCACAGCCCAACAGCCAGTGCTTTTCTCTCTCATCTGACAGGACAGTGCACTTCAGTTCTAGTTATTCCCAATGAAACCAAGAAAATGAGAGGTTATCGGAGCACAAAGTAACACCCCCTGACACTTGACATTTCTTTGTTGTGCTTCCCTCGCTCCTGCCCTTCATCATTGTGAACACCATGCTAGTTTAGCAGCCCCGTCAGTGCAGAGCATCTGCTTTGGCTCACAGCAAGGGAACTGCTTGCAGCCTGGCTTTACTTTAGGGTGCCTGGCATGCTGGAGTAGGTTGCCTGTGTTGGGCTGATTTGATTTGTTCCTAACGAGCAGGTGAATGATTATGTTTTCTTCCGTTGCACAATAATTCTGCTGTGAAGGCAGGCTGCCCTGCCTGTTGTCTCACAGCAGCCGCATCTTAACAAGGTTGTTGGAGGAGCCTTGCTCCTTCAGCGCTGCCTGCAGCAGCAGTGTGCTGCTCTCTTCACCCCCTTCATTGCTCCTCCTGCTGGCTGGCTCTTCTAGTGCTAAACTGAGTGCTGAGAGAAAACAACAGTCGTCTGTATTTGTTTGCCCTGTTGTTTGCGGGGGAATCCTGGTGCCCTGTGTATGCAGAATTTGGTTGGTTTTTTGCCTTCCCCTTGAAGCATAGCAGCCAGCCTCCTGGAATGTAACTGCTGTTTAACAGAGCACTGAAGATCAGGGAAACGTGGGAAGGCTTTGGAGAAACCTCTGTGCAAGGACCCTCCTTTGGAACCAGGGCAAAAACTGAGGCTGAGGCTGATTCCCAGGCTCCCAGAAGAGCACTATGACAGCCAGATACTGCTGTGTGGAGCAGATATCTCCCTCACAGCCAGGATCATGTTGTAGGTTTCTCCTCGCAGACGGTCAGAGTGCCAGCTCGTTTAAACAAGCTCTCTTTTGTGCTTAAGCTGGAGATGATAAAAGACCATTTGTTAATCTGCTAGGATGTGCAGTCTGGATCCCTGCCTTGGTGGTGGGTAGCCTACTCACAGAAGTGTGGGCACCCCAGCAGGTGTTGGAGGCCAGAACTGATATCTGGCACTGAAATTGCTGTTGACTTTTCTTTCCTACCCATCCATCAGCACTGTCCCTTGCCATGGTGCTGCATCCATTGTGCTGATAGGATGACCTGCTTCAGCTCTCTCTACTGAGAATTCAGGAGCTTCAGTGCCATCAGCACAGTTCGTGTTTGTTGGCTGTTACCTCGTGCCAGAGGCAAGAAAATGTAATCAGTGTTTACTGTATAGGCACTTTCAGACATTCCCTTCACAAGGTGATAGCATAGCAGCATAGGTCCTGAGCCTGTCTCAGTGCAAATCAAGTAAATCCCATTTCCCAGCAGAGGAAGATTAAATATTTTCTGCATCCTTGGCTGCTGTGCTACTTCTGTGACCCAAGGAAGCAACTGGACTGTCTCCGCCCCAAGCCCTCCCACGGTGGAGCTCAGGGCATATCCTTCTGAGGAACACTTTGTCCTCTTTCAGACTCTTTTCTTCTGTCCCAGTTCCGCGCATGGGTGCTGTTCTCCCATTCCCCTTTTTTCCTCTCATGATATGGGTCATTTTGAATACAACCAGAACTGTTGTGCCATAGTTTTTTGTTGTTGTTGTTTTGTTTTAAGCCTTCCTTTCTCTTTTGTCTCCCCTCCCCCCCCCCGTTTTTTTTCCTCCCCTCTGTCACCACCAGCTGGCTTTGATTATAATGTGAGACCCCACCATCTTCAATTAAGGAACAGATGTGACCCAAGAAATGGGATAGCAGCTAGGGATAGAGATGACACATTCATGGCATTAGGTCTAATCAAACAACTTCTCACATAATTCTCACTGTGAGGTGGGAGACGTGTGAGCCAAAGGCAAGTCAGTGCTTGGAGCACCTGCTGAGACACATTGCTAGCAAAACCATCTGTAATGAGCTGACCACGCCACTCAGCACGGCAACGTGAGTTCAGTCAAGGGTTGCTTTTAATCCACTTAAGCACAGTAAAGGGCCCAGAGGCTGAGAGCTGAGAACAGGTATCTAGAAAATAATCAGCCACTGTTGACCAGGGCTGCCAGGTAGAGGGGGTGTTTCTATGCTCCATACTCACAGATTTGACAGCGTTTGTAGGAGGGAGGACACTGCACAGCAGAGCTATGGGGTGGCTGTGGTGAGGATGGAGAAATCACTTTTATTATAGAGCTGTAGGAGAGTCTTGTTGAGGTCAGGCTAGGGGAGAGGATGGGCTGCTGCACTGCAGCCTTCCAGGCATGTCTATATCTGGGCTGAAAGGGTGCTGTAAGACCTGCATGCAGCTGTGTCTGTGGCACAGTGGGTGCTGTGTGCTGCAAGTCTGGGGACCTGGCTGTGCTTTGCAACACTCTGGATGCTTAGAAGAGTCAGGTGTTTTTGTAGACCTATACTGCAAGGAAGTTGTCAGTGGAAGAGCAGGTACTTTGAACCCAGAGGTAAGTTGTGACAGTGCTGGCGCTGCTATAAACCTGCTCTCCCTCCTTTTTCCATTCGGGCTAACAGCTGTTTTGTTTTCAGGAAGCCTTCCTCATTTTAGAGAGAGAGTTTCTGGTTATTCCCTTGTGTCAGTGTTTTAATTAAGAGTTTATTGCAAGTGAAACGTGTCCGTCAGATATCTGCTGAGATTGAAGTCTTCTGCTATTGCATTAAATAAGGGGTTGACCCAAGCAATACTAATTCAGACTTTCTCCTTACTTCACCTCAACCATGCCCAAACTGTGAGATTCCTATAAATTTTTGTAAGTGACAAAGAACAAGACTTAACCTCCTTTGCTAAGGAGGTGTTCACATATCATTCTAGTGCTACTGGCAGGGAAGCTGACATGGAGAGAAATGACTTACCTCGCAATGTCAGGGCATTGGTGGCAGAGATGAGAATAGGACCCAGGGTCCCTTTAGCCAGTCTCTGGTGTATTGTATTGATGTATTTGATGCATTTGGGAGAGGTACTCTGACATCCCAGGGTGGTGGAGTCACTTTCCCTAGAGGTGTACAAGAAATGTGTAGATGCAGCACTGAGGGACATAGTTTACGGGGCATAGCAGTGGTAGGTGGATGGTTGGACTAGATGATTCTAGTGGCCTTTTCAAACCTTAATGATTCTGTGATTTTATGATCCCTTGAGTTCTGTGCTGTATGAGGACAGGCAATGTGCGTTTCTCCATTTGAACATGGTGTCTCTGTTTGATAGGCCTGTTAGTTGAGTGTGAGTGTAATTGCTTGGGAGCATACCTGCATGCTCAAGGAGTGCAAATTATGCTGGATGTGAGGAATGAGGACTATGGTTATTTTGACTAGGATCCCAGTGTTGAAGCTAAGCTGTGGAGAGTGTTGCACTTCTCATGTGGTAGATCATTGCTTAGTAGCTCTCCCAAGTAGTGTCTCACTGTAGGATGAGTACTTGGAAAAGCCACCCCTACCCAGTAAATGGGAAGGAGGGAGTAGGTGGGTCCAGCCCAGTCAGAAGATGATGCCTGATGGTTATTCCTGCATTTTGTTTGGCAAAGTCTGTCTCCTGCTAGATAATAAATATCTTCTCAGAAGCAATAGATCTCTTCAGAGACAGCACCGTGGTGCCAGTGCTGAGCATTGTCAGCTCTTCCTGATGACGTCGCTGTCTGTCTCTGTTTGGTCCCCAGTTCCACCGGTGGTGGAGCCAGCCTTCCAGGATGTGCGGCAGGGCATGGGGCGCAGCGTCACCCTGCGCTGCACCATGCTGAAGGGCAGCCCCATGAAGGTGGCCACCTCTGTCTGGCGCTTCAATGGGACCCTGCTGGCGCAGCCCCCTGCAGAGCAGCAGGACTACTCGGAGCTAAAAGTGGACAGCGTGAGCCGGGAGACCAGTGGCAGCTACGAGTGCAGCATCTCCAATGATGTGGGGGTCTCCACCTGCCTCTTCCAGGTGTCTGGTAAGTCACAGAGCACTCAGGGGAGTGAGCTTTAGATGGCATCATGGAAGTGGGTTCAAATGGTACGGCCTTCTGTAAGCCAGCAGGACATCTGTCTCTATCACCCAGGCAGACCTTTAAGGCCATATGAGTGGGGGCAGCTAGTGCAGCCTCTGCTGTATTTTAGCAATATTTAGATGCTTGCCTGAAAGATGTGGGACTAAAACTCAAGGCTGTCATAAGCTTTCCGGCTTATGACCAAACTATTTGTAGGTAAGTACTAACCAAAGAGGATAGAAAGGCTCTATGTACCCCAGCAGTCTCCAAAAACATCCATTTTTCCCTTTCAAACAAACCAACCGACCACACCGTGTATTCCTATGCCTTCCCTACATCTCCAGGCAGACTTTGTATTACGATGCCTGAAAAGATAAACACAGTTTGAGTTGGATACTAGTACTAGTAGATTTGCTGCTCAGTTTTCTTTTTCCAGCATGCAGCGGCACTGGTTCCTAGCACCTGCAGCTGCAGAGAAGAGCAGCAGAGTTGTAGCAACTAAAACCACACATCTGCTCTAGCCTCTCTGGCTGATCATTAAATCTATTTTTCCCATGACCCCAGAATCGACTTGGGCACTAGATTCTAAACAAACTCTCAGATGAGGTTCCCTTAATAAACTAAAAAATCAGTAAATTTTTTTTTTTTTCAGCCTGGGGCCAATTTATAATACATGTCAAGAAGGGGCTGGAAAAAAAAAGAAAGAAAGGGGAAAAAAAAGAGAGAGAATAATTTGCAAAGAAGCCAGATTTTGAAGTTTTCCCAGAGTATGGAAAAACTCAGCTATGCTATAATTCCAAGATGCTCTCAGGAATGAGGAAATGCAAATCATTTCCACACTTTGGGCCCTTCTTCAGGATTTTGCTCTCACCCTTTGGGATTTCCTGGATTTTGTCTGGTAGTTGATTTGGCTTTTAGAGCTTTTTCTCTCTCTACTATTTCTTCAAATGATTGTAAGTTTCATCTCGCTAACTCAGTGGTGGCAAACTATATCCCATAATGAGCCGTCCACCATGACAAGCTTTGTTCTTAGCAAATTTGGGAATACTTCCAGGATCTGAATTTTGCTGGAAAAATAAGTAGTACATAATGCCATCCTGTGTGCCTGGTCGTGCCCCATGTGAAAAGATCTCCTTAACAGAAAGCACTGGTCCTCTCTACAGAGCCCTTGCCTGGAAAGCTGCGAGCATTTGTTTTTCTGCATCTCTCTTCTCCTTCCAAGGCATTGATAGCCGATGCTGGCTTTTCAGCTCCAGACATCTATGCCTGGGCAGCTGCAAATCAATGAGACCTTCTGAACCTGTAAAGTAACCAGAAAAATAACTCGATGGCTAGGCTACAGTACTTGGGCTCAGGACTGCTGGAGTTTTAATTCACATCTGCTACAACCTTCCTCTGTAAGCAGGAGGAACAGCATTGTTTCTTTTTGTTTCTGTTTCTTTCTTGTGAAAGATGGACCGTAAACCTTCCTAGCTGATGGGCAGGCAGTGACTCACCTGTGACCATGAGATGTTCAGATGTACTGGAAGCAGAATACAAAACCATGCTCGAGATGGAAAGATCTGTGTTGTGGGATTAGTGTATGGGAGATTAGCTTTTCTGTGATATTTTGGAAGGATGGCGAAACATCCAATCCACATCCAGACCCTCTCCATACCGCTCATCACCTGCTCCCCACCATCTACCAGCACAAAAAAGCCCTGAAAGACTGAGTGAATAACCTTTAGCTCTTTCTGTCAGCTGGAGGAGAAAGGCAAACTTTCTGTCAATGGTAAAAGTTGCCAGAAAGGAAGTTCCGAAAGTATCTTGATGTGCTTCCTTTCTATTAAAAGGATTTTTTTTAGCTTCTATTTCTATTTTAGAGTCCATTAATAAGGAATTAATATCATGCAAGATTATGATTATAATCAGTTCTGATTTTATTTCTGAATCCATTATGAAGCCTGACTTCCACAGTCAATACAGGTTGAATAAGCAGCAATTAGTCTCTGAGGTGGTTCTGAACTTCTTGCTTGTGCAAAAATTCAAGTCAATAAAAATAATAAGGAAAAAAAGACTTGGAAATACACATCAATATTATCCATCTGAGTTCATAAAAAATAAAATGCTGAATCCTTTTGAGCCTAATTATAACCATCGTGAATGGCGGTGCCCAGGATTCAAGAAGCAAGGTGCAGCACAGTACTTAGGAAGATAGTAGCGGGGCTTCTCTGCTCTCCTGCACCCCTCCCTGCCCATGTATGTGCAGGCCTAGATTAGACCTGGACTGGAAATAAGCATGCCCTGTGCATTAGTCTACCAGCTTTCAAGTTACTGGTTCAGGCCAGCAGTGGCTGGTGAAATGACAGGAAAACCCTTGTTCTCTGAACCATCCAATTTCTCCTGATCCCTGGAGGTGTTAAAGGCCAGGTTGGACTGGGCCCTGGGTAGCCTGACCTAGTGGTTGACAATCCTGTCCAAGGCAAGGAGCTTGAAGATCTTTAAGGTCCCTTCCAACATAAGCCATGCTACAATTCTATTATTCTCTGTAGTACATCTTTTCTTCTGTGTTTCTTTTCCTCCTGCTTCCTTCTGGTTTTTTAGAGACGTGGGTTTAGAAAACTCTGTCCCTGCAAAAGCTCTTGCTGTTTTCACCCTGGCTGAGGTCAACATTCCCTTTGCTGCAGAGTTGACAGCCGTGCTACAAAGAGGCTGGAGCACTGTGTTTTCAAGGCAGGGGAGATGCAGAAGGAACAAGGTCTCCTTTTGAGTGCCATGGTCCCCTGTGTGATAAATAGCACTTTTCCTATGACCTACTGGCCAAATGATCTTTCCTCGGGGATTGTTAGCAGGAGAGTCTGTAAAGCTGCAGATGAAACAGAAGAAATGCCAGTTTAAAGTTACCTCAACCTGAGCTACAAAAAGCGAGACACAAAAGATTTAGAGCTGGTTCCAGCTGGAGAACCGAAGCTGTTTCCACCTTTTCTGGTGTCAGTCATGCCCCACTGGTGCTGCAGGTCTGTGAACCCTCCCAGTAGGTTAGGCTGTGAAAGCAGAAGCAGACCACAGAAAAAAGATGCCATGAACTGTTTAACATGTCAGTGCAACAGCAGCTGGAATATTGAAGGAATCTCTCATGCCAAAGGCAGATGATAAGTTGGGTGAGAAGAGCTCTTTCACTCACCAGATATCTTTGTAATTTATATTCCCCTTCCATCCCACTCTTTACTTTCCTCCTTTTTGTTTTTTTCTTCAGCAAAAGCTTACAGCCCAGAGTTTTACTATGACACTCCAAACCCCACCCTGAGCCAGAAGCAATCCAAGAATTACTCTTACATCTTGCAGTGGACACAGAAGGAACCTGATGCTGTGGATCCTATCCTCAAGTATCGCCTGGAAGTCAGGCAGGTAAGGTCTGCTTCCCTGGTTCATGCTTTTGAGGAGAGGATCTTGGGGCAGTTACATCAATGTCTCCCTGATGATTAAGAGCTGTAGTTGGTCTTGTGCCTTCCTGGCTGAATCAGTGACATGGGCTGAGTACACAGCTCGGTGTTCATTAAGTTAGGTGCTGGGTACAGTTGGGAGCTTTCAGAGCATTGCTGCCTCCCATCAGATTGCTAGTGCTCAGTATTCTGAAGGGAGGTTAATATGAACAAAAGTCCACAGTCATTAGTAGATTTTAGAGATTTCATAGGCCAAAGATTCAAGTAAGTAGGCTTCTACCCTCAACACTCATGTGAAATAAAGGGAATAAGCTGAAGAGCTCTCCAGGCAGGAACTGCAGGAAAGTCAGTGTCTGTTTGTGTTGCAAAAGGGCTTTCATACTGTCACAGTAATGAAGCTATTGGGACTACATAAACTCTGCAGGGAAAGAGAAGTGTGTTTCAAGGCTTGCTGAATCTGAAGAGAAATCACACCAGAGTATGGAAATCGGGCTGAGAGGAGAACTGAGGAAAATCTGAAGGTTGCGCTGGTTGGAGGAGGGCGAGTAAAAGTCTGATATTTTTGAAGAGCACATTAACCAGTAAGGATTGCCAGATAATTTCATCCAAGCTCAGCAAACTGCCTGCATTCAACACATTTTAAAAGTGGGGATGCTTAAAATTGGTATTTCTTGCCACTCAGTGGTAGCTTGGAAGCAAATGTGTTTTATAAGGAGAAGTTTGTTTACTGCAGATAGGAAATAAAATAATTTAAACGATCCAAGTTTCTCTCTCCTCTAGTTCTGCACAGTAGGCTTCAGTTTTATGTCTCCGTTTGCTTGTAAGCTCTCTGGGGTGGGACAGCCTTTGTTTGTTCCTCATGCAGCGCAGAACGCATTGTCAGTGCTTAATAATAATACAGGACACAGGGGAGCCTCTAATAATGAAAGCAGTTTGTCACAGTACCCCTTCCCTGTTAGCCAAGTTTTGCTATTACCAGCACTGCAACTCCACAAACTAATTTGTGATTTTTATCTTTCTCCAGTGATGTTGAGTTTTTTTTCCTTTTGCACAGTGTCTAAAAGTAGTCTTGGTTCTTGTCCTTGTTGTGCTTCTAGCAAAAGGGTTTAAGTGAAAGAAAAGCCATATTTCTGCTTTAAGTTCTGATGTAAAGGAAGCTGAGTGCCTGTGAAAGCCTAACCTTCTGTTTTTTTTTCCATATCCCATTGGTTACTGCTGCTAATGTTTCTTGTGCAGCATCACTACATAGTACTGACTGGTAAGAGGTGTGTTTTGGAGGAGTCATTGTACCATGACCCTGTTGTATCCCAATGTGATGTATGATCAGGCTCTTAGATATCTCTACAGGTCCCACCTTAGTGGCCCAGGTCTGAATAACAAGGAGGAGCAAGGAGGCAGCAGGGGAGCATTGTTCCCATTCTGTTGAGCACAAGGAGGAAAGTCTGGAAAGGATCTTACCAGTATTGCCTGGCCCTCCTCCTGCAAAGCCACTTGCATCATATGGTGAGGTCTCCACACCTCCATGTGCTGAGGTTTCACTGAGTTCTCTGCTGTACTGCTGTTTTCTCTGATGTTTTCCTTGTGACATCGCCATTAGACTTTTATAGCACTCTTGTGGGTCCTTCTGCTCTTCTCCTCTTTCCCCTGCACCGTACCCCTCTTCCATGTCCTGCAGTCTTTGCTCCTTCGTCACGTTCTTCCCCATACTGGGGCGTGTGAGCTGAGCTTTGTGTCCTGCTGATCAATTGTCAAACTGCAGAACATGGTGACGTTAATGAATATAACTGTAAAAAGCTCAAAAGCTTAAAAGCGTTGGCGTTTGAAGAGCTCTTAAGAAAGGGGATTTGCCTGACTGAATGAAGAGCCAATGGTTGCCTGGGTACCCTCTTCACAGGATGCACTGGCTTCCAGACTTCAGTTGAGGTGGCACAAAAGCCCTCCTAGAGAGCTGGTGTTGAAGTGGGATATTCTCCTCAAATTTAAAAAAAAAAACACAACAGGCTTTACATGCGGTCAGTCATGATTGATTTATTGCCAGCATCAAACGGATGAGAGCTTACCCAGTCAGCCAGCCTACCTCTTCCAGCCCTGGGAGCTCCCCAGCCTCCACGGCCAAATGCTCTTCAGCATTGTAAGGACAAATGTGAGCAGGACAGCATGCCACCTCAGTGTCTGCTGGATGGTGAGGGGCTGTTTTTGTTTAGGTGGAGTCCAAAAGGCAACCAGCTGGAATGTCCGCTGGTTGTAACATGCTTTGCTGGTTTTCCTCTTGCTCTCCCCAGTTTGCTTGAAGAGCTCTTAGCATATGTAATGTGAAGATCCCTAAGTAGAAGGATGCTTTTCAAAGCACCTGGGAACCCTTGAATCCAATTTACTTGCTGCAGCTGCTGAAAATGGGGCTGAGTGAGGGTAAAAGTGCTGCTTATTAATTGGCTGGTGCTATGGCTCTTCCAGTTCTCCCCCTTCGATGGCTTCCGAGGGCTGGTTGGGAATTCCTGCGGGGATTGCAAACAGCCTGGGGGAATTTGTTTTCCTAAGCAATGCATGGGCTCCCAGCAAGACAGGCAGGTGCATTTCCGTAGAAGCTGATTGTTCCCAGCCCTGCAGCAGAGGCTGAATAGCACAGCAGACGTACCAGTTCCAGTAGAATAAGAATTAACCTTAAATTAAAACCCAATAAACAGCCTGACAGCTTGGAGTCACTGACCCAGGCAAAGCACATATACTAGCATTGTAGAGCAAATTTCTTGTAAAGCCTTTGTCTTTGCAAACAGGCTGTTACTTCCTGGAGCGTGTCAGCCAGGTGGGCTAGGCAGCAGCATTGCACTGAGTACTAATTCAGTGGGGAGCTTCACTGATGTCTATTTTGGAGGTTTGGGAGGTTTTCCCTTTCTTGCTCCAAGGCGACTGACCTAAACGCCAATCGTCTTACCTCACTGCAGCCAGTGATCTTAATGAGTTTGCAGCCTTAGGTCATTTGGTTCTGGGCAGATCCAGCAGGCTTTGGAGTGTTCATTTGGTCAGCTTTTTCCTTTTGTGTGCTCTCGCAGTATAGAAAGGCACTGAGGCACTGTGCTCCAACTAAAAATGTTTTTCATTGCTTGGGGATTCAAAGCAGCCTCCCCAAGCCAGATCTTTGCTTAAAAAATAAAAAGCCTTTTAAGTTGCTTATTTCTCTCTGTGTATTTTATCCCTTCCCAGTGCTCTGCTCTAACATTAAAGAGAAATGAGAAGCCATCTAATATTGCAAGCAGGTCGCATCCTGGAGGAAAGATCTGAGCTGGGCTGGTGGTTACGGTTGCAGAGGATAGTGGCAGAATTACTGTGCACGTAATGAGTTGGAACCCATCTGTGACCTGAGGCTGCAGGAGAAAGAGGAAGGAGAAGGTATTGGTGCAGAAGGGGAGCGTAATCTTTGTTGTACCCCTCAAGGAGACTCGAGGCTGCCATTGCCTCCGTGCCTTCTGGTACGTGGACTCAGGCAGAGCAGGCCCAGCTTCACGCCTTCCTGCCTTCCCCTCGGCAGAGCAGACCCAGCCCCACCTGGCAGACAGGGCCCCACAATTTGCACCAGGCCAAGCCCCAGACCCATTTGCTAATTTAGCTCACTGAGTTGTCATTTCAGATTAATTCCTGTCAGGGAGACTGTCTTTAATGAGAGTGGCCCTGTGCGATGCCTGAGTAATTGTGCGGCCTCTCTTTGTTTGTACTTTCATCCCCCCCATGTTGGATAAACATCCCCTGCTGTCTACAAACCTCATCTGGGCTGCAGAGCCGGCTGCCACTCGCCTCATCAGCCAGCCAGAGCAGCGTTAATGAGAGCCGCGGCCGTGGGGAGCCGGCTCACCGTGCGGGGAGGTGGCAGATAACAGAGCTGTTTGGACACACAGAGGACAGGGACTTTAGCAGGGATTTAATGATTGTGATTAGAGCAGAAGGATAACTCCACTGACGGCCATCGCAACCCAGTGGGAGAGTTTTTACACCAAGGCCCACCGTCTGTGGATCCATATCGCTTCCTTTCTGCCTCTGAGTTATTCGTTTGCTCTGCTCTTGAGAGGAGAGCACACAGAGCTGCACACCTCTCCAGGGCCACATAGAGTGGGACAGGGCATCCTCACACTCCTTCCTCATGCACCAAGCAGGGATGGTGTGACTTAGAATGGAGAAGTGAGTTATACGCCTGACTGTATTCTCCTACATCAATCTCTATATCAGAATAGTTAGCCCACACCACTGTCTTGACCTGTTCATGAACCACCACAGCTTGATGAACACGGGTGCATGGCTCTTGGCATATCGGGACCCAACCTAATGAACCTAGATGGATCTTCCAGTGCCTGCGAGCAACACTGTGATCTTATAAACCACTAGTGTGTGCAGCTAGGGTAGAACAAGCTTCCAGAGCAAGGTCATCCTTCCTGTCTTGTGTTCATGAGAACACAAGAACATCCAATGTGGGGCAAACCAAAAGGCTGTCTCTTCCCGTCTCCAGTGCCTGGAGAAAAATATAGCACGTAGAGAATTGCTTTATCTGCATTATAAGCCCCAAGTCAGGAAAGGTTCTGAAGATGGCAAATGCACTCCTTGTGGCAGCCCAGCCCTGTGCTGTGGGACGGGAATGAAAACCCTCATCTTCTGCTGATGCAGCCATGGCTTCAGGTGAAGCTGCTTGAGAGACAGAGCAGCCGGCACCTCGGGGGATTGCCTGAGGGCTACAGAGGAAGGAAACTCTGCGTAAAGCAGGCAGGGGTGACCGAACTCATTTTACAAACAAATGGGCTAGCGTTTTGCCAGCTCCCGGGAATTGCACAGTCTGGGCAATGCTGCCATCACCACGGTAACCACAGAAGATGGGGCTGCGAATAGGCCTGTGCCCACAGCCTGCATCCTGAGGCCTGCTGTGCCCTGTGCTCCCATGCTCTTCATGGCCTATCCTGCATGTCCCCCCACTAGTGCTAAGGG